TAGGTAGGATGGAAGGAAGGAGACTTTGTGCTCAGTTTGCTCAGCCGGTGGTGTTTGGTCCACTGTGTTTTATCAAGTCAAGAGTCAAAGCAGCATCTACCAGGAGATTTTAGACCGTCATGCTTCCATCAGCTGACTGGCTTTGTGGAGATGCTGATTTGCTTTCCTGGACTCAGAACCTGCTCACACGGCCAAAAATACAATTAAATGGCTTGATAACCATATTATTATTGAACTTGATTGGCCGGCAAACTTGCTTGAACGGAACATCGTAGACAAGTTCAGTGAAACGCTCGACCCAAAACTGCAGACGAGCTGAAGGCCACTATAGACCTCAAAGCACTACTGTATTTTATGGTAAAGCACTTATATATATGTGTGTGTGTGTGGAAAAATGCATACAGAAAGTCATGTTTAACCTCCTGAAGATGATGAATTTTCCTCCACTTAATGTATTTAATTACTTTGAACATTCAGGTTTTCAGTGAAGACATAAGAACACCTGTATCAGTTTAAGGTCCTGCATCCTGCTTTGTGGAGAAACACAGGTGGAAATACCACCCTAATGCAGTGTGATGTATAAGGCAACATCAGCACAGGACTGATGTGAGGTTTATTATTACCAATAACTGATGTTAAAATTTACTGCTTCTTCCTACAGCCTGGCTAATTCAGGCTGCCCTGGATCTGTTAACATTAAGGGAGCAGATTTATTCCTCATAGCTCCTCATAATAGTGCGGGTTTATTTTAATATAAAGAGGAAGATTTATACTTTAAGTACTTCTTACAATGAACTTAGGGTGCAGGCCCAAACTCCAATGAGAAATGTAACCCTCTGTGAAAACCAAGGCTGCCAAGACAGTTTTCCTCCTACTCATTATTATGTGCAAGGGACGGCATACTTTATGACATGGAAGTTCCCCTGAAGATGCCAGTGAGTCGGATAGATTCTAATTTATTCATTTATTTTCAGATACTTTAGTGAAAGTAGCAACACAAAAGCGTGATAAAGTTCTGCACTGAAAGTCTTGCAAGTCAAAATTCTACCCAAAGCTACCCTTTGACTACCAAAAAGGATTTAAGCCTTACAAAAAAATAAATAAATAATAATAAAATAATAATACGCCCCAGCTCTCATTCAGGTGACATGGCTCATGTCGTCATGACTCCCATTGTGGCCCATTTGGATGGACAGAAAGGTTCAACCTTGATGGTTTCAAGGCCAAAAGTACAAAAACATAACAGTATGAAGAAAGGCAGAAAGTAGCACGTGCACAGTGAGCAGGATAATAGCGGAACTGAACAGAAGCAGAATAAAACCGCGGGGTAAGAATAAATAAGTTTCACTCACCATTAGATAAAGTTGAAAGTGTTGAACCGTCTCTGGATAATATCCCTCCAGTCATTAGTGCACTTGGCAGGTAATGCTTCTCTCAAAGGTCAGATGGACTCCCAGCGAGGCTTCTAACTGGTCTTTCAGTGTGTAAAGCATGACTTGCCGCTAACACTTGAGTGCCATTTACCATTGTGAATCTCACTAGGTGTTGCCACACATTGGTTTGATAGTCCTCCCTCCCTGACTGCCACAGAACAGCAGAAATGAGCAGGAGAAGAGAGAAGATGGTGGCTAACATGCTGCACCCGACCAGAGTCAGCTGGCAAAGTCAGCTGGTGTTAACGGGTTCATCGTTTGGGTTATTGCATGAAAAGCAATCGCTAACACGAAATTCGATTAAGTCTGCGGCTGCAGTAAAAGCCAGGCAAACTATCAAGGGAGGAAATGTAGCAGTTGGTGACATCCATGATTCCCAGATTGTAGGCAAAGCATTTACACCCAAGTATTAAAATCAATTCTTGTGTTTATAATTGTGAAACTTAGTCCAATTATATTTGGGCCTGTGAACATGGCAGCACTACATTAAATGCTATCTTTTTTGCTTCATAAGGGGGCTGCACTTGCAGGATGTTCGGCCAGTACATTTAAAACTAGGCTCAAAGCAGTTATCGGATAGCAATTATACACCTGGTCTGGGTTGACTATACTGTTGGCCACTGTCTTTGTCCACTATGACTCTGCTGAAGCAACAACAGCATGCAGAGGTTACCCTTTGCGCACGCTTGAAGCTGGAAACGAATCAGCGCTCTTCAGTTCCTGTCCTCTGAAGGAGACTGTGTAAAAATCCTGCATTTGCAAAACGGTTAATTCACTATTTTTTCCTTAAACCACTGCTGACTTTCACAAGTTGGGAGCATCGTGTCATTGTTCAACTTATGGAGGGGACTGTATTTCACTTTGACGCAGCTGCCCACGGTGGGGGTATTCGCAGCCATTATTGTGACAGTTTGTAGTCTTCTTTTCAGCAAGTGGGAGATATCACAGCTACCAAAAATGAACGATGGCTATCTTCAGTTGGAATAGCTTTGCTGGGACGCTTAATGGAACTGGGCTGTCATTACTCTCATTAATTCCACCTATGCTTCTCCCCGATCTGAAGCGAATGTGTCTGCTGTGACAAAAGCTTTCATTATATCCTTATTCCATATCTGCTGTTCTTTGTTGTACCTTTCAGAAAGTTCCAGGTACAAATGTGTGAAGCACTGACCCAATTTGCTGGGTCCTCCTGCACCCTTTCAATTCACTATCCTCTTGCGCTTTTTTTCCTGCAGCTGTATGTATATCATGTTGTTGTCTGCAGTGAGATGAAATACCGTAATTGTAAATTTAACACGTCACACGGTCACGAGGGATTATATGACCTATAATCTTGCCCAGGGGGTCTTTTTTCCCAAAAGACCTTTAATTCCAACCCATGCGGAAAAATGTGTGTCACTAGATACACAGCAGCGGCCCCACTTTAAGTCTTACTCTGGCTTTATGCTGACTTAGACACTTTTTATGTAGTTACATTTATAACTTTTTAACTGAGATGTACACTCACTGCCCACTTCATCAGTTATACACTGCTAGTTTCATATTGGACCCCCGTTTTCTCTCAGAACAGCCTTAATTTTAATGGCATAGATTGGTTGATTGTTGTTTTGAACAGGTGTGCCAAATGATTTTTTTTAAAATTTATTTTCCAGCTATCACCATGCATCAACCTTTTTAGTCTTTCTATTTAATGTTCCATGTTTGCCAATGTTTTTTTTTTTTTTTAAGTAAATGTATTCACATCAAATCTTATACAAGGAGCTGGAAAATATGTATTCTTTCCTAATGCAGCTTTCAAAAACAGTATAATTACAGCCATCAGTGATATGGAAATCTTTTACTGCATCCATTTTTGTGTGGGTTTTTTTCTAAGCGATTCTGGGAAACTATATATTTTATTAAGTCGATTTAAATGAGGTACAGTAAAAAAAAACAAAAAAACTGACGGACACACACAATCTTGCAAATCACCATACTTAAACTGACTTTCATATTTAAAAATTTTTAAAAAAAAGGTGGTTTTGTCTTCTCAGTGTCCTTACAATGACCCAAATATACTCTGATGTGCGATTACTGCAGCAATATAAATTCTTGGCTGCTTCACATATTGCAGTCCAACTTCACTGGCTATTGTTTAATAAGCACCAGCACCAGGCTAAATATAGTGTTTGATGTTAAAAGCTGCACTTTTAATAAACAACAGCAGCAGGACCCAATGTATGTTGCAAAATAATGAAGTCTATATGGGAGGCTTACAACATAATTATACAGAGCAGCACATTAGGCGGCATGCTAAAACTTGTTTTGAGAGCAAACATTACTCGTCTGGGCTTTTCCCCCCCACATACTATAATGTGTTACTACAAAACAAATTAAAAGTGGTACAACAGGGGGGGAAAGTATGTAAGCATGGTTCAAGTGAGGGGAGAAATAAAAATAAATTACAGGAACGTGTTAATCAGAGTGTAGCATCATGTCAGTTAAACTTTGTAATTGATCTGGTCAGTTAAATATCAGAGGGCGTAATCAGTTTCAGCTGCTTTGTTGTTAATGAAATTAACAACAGGTACACTAGAGGAGCAACAATGACAACCCCCAAAAAGGAATGGTTTCACAGGTGGAGGCCCCTCACATTTTTCCCCACTACGGTAGTTTTGGTTAGGGTCAGTATCATTATTGGTGGCATGATGCGAAACCTGGACCTTCGTCCCTACAGAGGTTGCACAGGTAGTCCAGGATGGGACATCTATATGTACCAGAAGGTTCACTGTCTCTCCCAGCAAAGCCTCAAACATGGAAGAGATTCCAGTAGACAGATTGTTAATCAAGCAGACCTGGACAGGAACATAGGTCCATAACTCATCGGCAGGACTGATATCTGGTCTTTTGTGCAAGTAGGAACAAGATGAGTACTTTGAGCTACAAAATGACCTCCAACAAAACACTGGTGTGAAAGTCTCTGACCAAACAATCAGAGGGACAGTAATGGTCTGATGAGGCTAATCCATTTGAAGCATGTACAGCCTAGGCAACAACACCCCGACTTCCATTAGTTATCGAGGATGAAATTGTCAGACCCTATGCTGGCGCAGTGGTTCCTGGGTTCCTCCTAGTGCACAACAAAACCAAGCCTCACATGTTGAGTCAGTGGGCACCTCCTGGAGGATAAAGGACCCCGTCCTCACCTGACTAATTCAGTAGAACACTTCTGGGATATGTTTCGGTCCATCAATGCTATCAACTGGCAACTTAGAGTATCCAGGGGCTCTGGCCCAGATGTGGGAGACCAGGACACAGTTTGATAAAGAGTGTGCATACAAGCATGTGGGGATCCTGCAAATGACTCTACCAATTTGTAATTCTGCAATAGTAATTTCAGCAAAATGGACTGGCTTCATATTCTTCCACTTTGATTTTTGGGGTGTCTTTGAGTTCAGCCATCTGCAGGTTGGTAATTTTAATTTCCATCAAATGATGATTTGTTTTCAAAGTGTTTATTTAATTGTTTTGAGCAGTGCACATTACTTTAGTCGGCAGTGGTACAAAGACAAATTACAAAATAACAGATTAGATTCACTTTAAAGTTTATTAAGATATAAAGCAGACACATTAAATTTATCAAGTGTCCACTAATACGTCAGCTCTCAATAACAAAACAATCCACAGCAATGTAGTTTGATATCAACTCAAGACTCAAATACAGCAAAAGGTTAACAGTAGGGAGGGAAAAAAAACCCTAAATAACAAAAACGACATTTAAAAGCCTTGCTGCAAACCAATGCACCACCATACATGTCTGCAAACCACGCTGCTAACAACTTCTGCTTTTATTTCAACTCTGTAAAGTCTAACAAGCAGTTTGTGTGTTTTCTTAAAGACTGTGCATTAAACTAATTAAGATTTTATATATAAAGGACAAGCAATACAATAAGAGTTAAGAGGCAGATAATAATTTCCATACCTTGCCAACTTCTAAGATGTGAAGAGAAAAACATTGATCCCTCAGTTTGGACATGTTGAGAATGTAGTGGTGTTTGGGTCTCATTGACAGCTAATGAAAGCTTGTGGGCTTTGGACAGTACCAACAACTGTGTATTCATTCTTTAGCCCACTGGCTTCTCTTAAACACAGAGGAGTTATTGCTAATTAACAAAGTTTGACTCAACTGCTGGAGACCTGTGCCTTAAAGTGTAGGTTCACACAAGTAGATCAGTTATGTAGCAAAAGAGAAGGGTAAGAATAAACCGTCACCTTTGGTTTCTGAAGACAATACAATAACAGTAACAACAATAAAACTCATTCAAATACAATTTGAGATGGTTAAATTAAAAGGAAAATATCCTTTGACAATCAAGGGGTACAAATGGGTCAAATTGTACGGTGCTGACAATAAAGTTTAAAGTTGGTCTGATTTTTTTTTTTTTTATAGTGTCATAACAAAATACATAATGGCATAAAGAAAAACGCAGGCACACATGGAAATATCTCGACTTGGCTGAACCAAAACATGTTTAAATCCTACCAGTTAGACTCCCACATCCAAATTAACTGCAGTTATGCCTAAAGGTAAAAATAAGGCAGTTGAAATTTTGCATAGCTGATATCTGCAGTACAGAACGCATTTTGCCGTAATCAAGCCTTACACCCTGGAGACCCCACAGTTTTATTCTGAAACTGGTTAGGATACAAAATAACCACAAGCCCATATCCATTAAATTCACCTACTGAATAACTTTGTCCAGTTGATTTCCCTTTCTGAAGAATAGACACTTGATAACTAGACAAGAGTACATTTGAGCTGGTGGAATAAAAATGAGGCAGTGGAGGAATATATTGGGTCAAACAGACAAGCGGTCTATGGAAAGATAGAAGAAATATGCTAAAAGCTTCTCTCTTTGATAGTGTGACATGCTCAATCTATAGAAAAACTCATTGGTCAAAATCCTTTGTTATTTTTAAACAATAAATGTGTGGGGTTGGAGGTCAGGGGTCTAGATGCTATCCATAGCTTTGAATTCACTCAAAGCCTGCACAGGGTTCACGTGCTTCCTTTGAGAAGATCTCTTGACTCTGTTGGTCTGGCCATCATCCTGCTTCTCTCTTTTCACCAGAGGCTTCTTCTCAGGAGCTTTCATCTTCCAGGAAACAGCGGGCATATTGAGTGCCTCCATGCCCTTGTTCTTCTGGTACTTGGTAGACGCCACATACGACGCCTTGACAGTGGACACCACGGCATTCATCAGGTTCTTTGCTGCTTGAATGAGTGACATGGCGCTGTCCAACTGATACAGTGGAGGAGATGTTGGAGGGGGGGGAGGGGAAAGAAGAAAAAAAAAAAAAGAACAGGGTCAGCTTTGTAAAATGATAAAAGCAAAGGCTGATTAAATCGTCTTTAAGCTCATATCAAGTTAAAAATGAACTAAATCCATCTTTACAGCTTTGTGGGGAAGAGTTCAGACTAAAGCATTAACAACTAGTCCCTTGTCTGAAATACAAACGTGTGACAAAATTTTGAATATGTAAAAAGGTCACACCAATTTAATCCCCACACTTAACAGCCCCAGAGACGCCACTCACACTTGACTCAAAGTAGTAGAAGGATATTCTCATTTCTGCCCAACAGAAAGGAGGAAATAATTCATTATTCCCTGCACAGATATTTAAATGAATTTAACTGGCAAGTAAGTGGTTAATTAGTGCTTAAAGGAGTTGTAATTTTTTTTTATTGCAAAGTGCTATCTGAGGTAGTAAAAAGGTTAGGAAACATCAGGGCAACATTAGTCCTTTCCAGCACAGAGAAAGCCACTAAATGCCGTTATGTGTTTATTCAATTAAAATTTAAAATTTAAGCTGCAACTTATAGTTCAGAGAATAAATCATTAAGTAATCACAACCAGCAGCCGGTGTCATTAAGCCCCTGTATTTTTAATTTATTTGGGCAACAACAGATAAAACTTTTAAAAGTAGCTGTGGGATTCTATTGATTTAAGAACTGTTGTAGAAATTAAAGGCATTCCTCTGAGATTTCACTATACACAAGTGCAGTTCTGTTTACATTGATTATCCCATGAAGCTGACAACAAAGCAGCTCAAGTTTCCTGAAACCTGCACAGTTTGCACCACTACTCAGTCTCTTCATTCTTCTCAATTACTGCCACTTTGCCCACATTTGAAGCTGCATCACTGTCACCAAGTTTTACCAGCCTGCAATCTTCAAAACAAAAATCCGATCTCAAACTCAAACTCAGTTCAACACTCGTTTCAGCCTGATCCGATGTGAGGTTGAAAGACAATGAAAACTGGAATATACAACTTAAAGTGCTTGAGGATAAAATGAAAAGGCTAAACTTACCCCAGAGACAACCAGCTCTCCTCCCAGGTTCTGAACTTCGGCCTTGACTTTACTGCAGATGTTAAGCTGGTGGCAATACAAGGCAATACGCTGCAGGTAGGCGTGCAGGTCCTGCTTACAGCTGGAGTCAGGACACTATGAGAGAAAGACACACACACACACACACATACAGGTTACATGCAAGCATCCTTGTTATGCACAGCTTTCTATCAATAATATTACCTGTTTGCATGTAGCTCTATCAGGATGAGATAGTAGCATGTCTGTGAAGGTTCTCAGTCATCCAGGTCATCATACTCTAAGGAGCTTGGAAAGAAAAGCGTCTGGACTTCTTTGAGTTGCTTGAAGACGTTTCACCTCTCATTCGAGTCCAGACGTTTTTCTTTCCAAGCTCCTTAGAATAAGATAGTAGCAGTGTGACAGGTAAGGTAGACACGCACAAAATCAAAGTGCTCTGAGCAAAAATGAAAAACACACGCCCACAACCTGGTAGATAACTCATTTTCACAAGGTTAAATATGATCAAGTCACACAGAATGCAAATTCTAGTAGGAGGCAAACATTGCTGTCAGTCAATTAGTGTTGATATGAATGTTGTGTGAAGTCTTTTTTTTTTTACTGAAAGTGTAAACCCAAGTACAGTTCATTGATTGTTTTCAAAATGCCTTTAGTAATTTGAATTCTTAGAAGAAAAGAGTTTGAAAAGACCTTCATGCCAACAACTTAAGCAGTGACCTTGGGCGTGAAAGTGCAAATAAACTTCTCAGGGCTGGAAAAGCACTCAAACAGGCTTCGGTAAATACAGTCTAATATGTGAGTGAGCATGTAATAGTGCAGAGAAACCGTAAAATGCACAGTTAAGCAATTTGAAGACCATAGGTTCATGTAGGTTTAAAAAAAAAAAAAAAGTCTCTTTTGTTCCCAAGGCCTATCAAAAGCCAACCAAAAGCACACCAAAAGCACACACACACACACACACACAAAAAAAAGAATACACTGAAGCATTAAAGTTATAAACGCTATTTCGAAGTGAAGAGCTTCAAAAACTGTATTCTGTTTAGCATTGGCAACCTTTTTGAATTATAGCATCGTAATTACACTTGCGCTCTACCTGGTTTGCTAAACAAGCCCCCTGCTACCAGAGTAATTAGGCCACAGTACTCTTAGCTGCTCATCAAGTGAAGGATCTAAGCAGTCTGATGGGGCTCCGATGCTTTACATCAGATCATTACAGTGACTTGAGTCACAGCTAGCATGTCAGCGACAATCAGACTGGCTATGCTATACGATCAAAGGCTGGCAATTGTCAACATCACCTAGCAAACAAAATATCTATGAAAATATTTGGGATGACCATGTCTGAAAAATGTCAGAGGGAGGAGTCCTTTGGCCCTGTTAATTTTGAGTGCACAGAAAAGGTGAAATGGAGATAATTAGGGCCAATCTTTTAATTGATAAAAGCTCTCTGGGACAGAGCTTGTGAGGTCAGTGCTAAAGAACACGAGTGTAAACGAGTGCTTGCTTGTCTTGGGATAAACAAGAAACACTGTATATAAGCATGTAAATGACACAGCGGGGCATAGGGGTATCTCCCACTTGGCTATAATGGCTTTTACTCCTCTTCAAGTGCGTCAACCTAACCAAAGGCAACAAAACCCCGTTTTCGTTTCTGTATCAAAGGAGGGAGGAAGAGGAAACATAAGTAGGATCCTGATTTTTGGACACTTCAAACAGACTAGGACTTATGATGCGTCTAATCCTGCTGAGCGCATCAGTATCCCTAGTGGGAGAACAGAGTGCACGGCTGAGTATAGTGCACTCACTCCCAGCCATACAGCCATGCATGCATGAATTTAAACACCATCCCACCCAGTACAACTGTACTCATTCATACGTGATGGGTCACCACAGCAGAATAGAACATACAACCAACGCATCCTTTAACTACTCAAATAGACCTCATCTACATATAGGACACAAACATCCTAAAGCATCTACAATTACAATTTATTGACAGTTCTTTAGATATTCCATGTACATTTTAATAACAACTGTATTATCACCATCTACTGCTGACTAATAGGACAGGCTAAGCAGAGAGGACAAATTAAGTGTTGACATTCTATTAAAAACTGTATGGAAAAAGAGATGATGATCATTGTACAGCAGAGGACTAATACAAGGCTGTGAGACCACAGAAAATGGTAGAAAGAGGAAGGTTTAAAAAAAGAAGAAGCAAAGGGGAAAAAAAGAAAAATAAGTAGGAGAAAAGACAGGGATGAAGAGTGAGCCAGAGGGGGAACAGAGTGGAGGAGTAAATAAGAAGTAGAAATCCAACTGGGGAAAAGGAAGGTAGACGAAAGGATTCAACTGTAGTTGGGAGGGGCATTTAAGTCAGAGAGAAACAGAGAGAGAGAGAGATGCAAACGCAAAGACCTGGGATGAGGCTGAATGCAGCAGCCATGCTAATGAAGGCTTGGGGAAGTATTCAGATGGCTGGAAGCAGGGCACTGTGAAAGCATCACTTGTGCTCATACTCAGCTCAGCTGCTGGCTTCACTTAGCACTCAGGAAACTCTGCAACGCTGCTCTGACTGTGACATGTGAATACATAAGTTGCAAAAAGAAGAGACAAGAGCACCTTGAATTGTTTAGGTACTGCAAATGGAAATAGAAGTGCAATAAATGCAGGTGGCAAAACTAAGGTAGCTCAATAACTACCCGCACTGTTACGTCAACGCTTCCCTAAAACCAGGTGGATCAAAGGGCAACATCTCTGCTTTTAGACTTTATGCTATAAATAATTAATACTTCAGGTGTAGTTTTACAACCTAAATGTTATTGCATCTGCAGGCTGTGCAAGCACTTTCCCTCGGTAGTCAAGTTAATAATCTAGCCTGTTATTGAAACGGTTCACTCAAAATCTGCTCTTGCGTGAGTTTTTAAACTATTAGAACACACCACTGCCTATTTTTGTGTCGTCTGTGTGCTGCTCTAAAATTGCATACAAGCCTTTTTATGTAACCTTCATGGCAAGGATCTTGCAAAACTTTAGAATTATAAAAAAAACTTAAGGATTTTTATGTACCACTCACTGGATGTAGTGGATTAATGTTATTCTTAGGAGATTTAGTGATTCGGGTTAGTAAGACAATGTAATGTTGGGAATGAGTGTATATTACCTGGTGTTTGGGAACAAACTTATAAGCTGTGGGTAGTCATTTGTCAAATTGAGCTGCGCAAAAGCCATCTTGTACATGATCATATTGGAATTTGTATTTTAATTTATTAGTGAATAAACTGAAATTAAAAACAGTTGTTTAATAGGACAGTCAACTTTGCCTTGCCAGCTACTGTGGAGAGATGGCAAATCAAGAATAGGTGCACTAGAGACAATTCTGGTTATCTTTTCAGAACAAACTAGAAGGACAAATCTTTTCAAAAGCAGCCAGCAGTACAGGCAGAAATGTCAAAGATTCTAGTGTAGTTTTGCCTCCCCTTCACTTCTTGAAGTACCTTTTAAAGAAAAAGAAAGGTGAAACAATGGATGACATGGGGACAATGGGTACCAGATCAGTATTCTAGTTTGCTAATTGAATCTCTTCAGTAACAATGCCTTACAAGACTTTTAGTGTACTACACATTTATGTGGGTCTGAAAAGAGTGGGTAGCTCTTTCTTTCCTTTGCATCAAAGCTGTAGCTCTAGAGAAGCTCACATCACAATCCAATCAAAAGCAAAATGTATTTCTTTCCAATCCACTGCACACAAAAAACAGGAAATGTGGCAATAAGAATGACAGTGCAGGATGCTGAACAAAGCTCTCTCTGTTACTCAACACAAAGCACACAATCTATGATTTAAATAATGATCGGATGGTGAGGTCCCATCATTGGCGAGTGCTATTCAGTTCTATTATACAGAGCAGAGGCAGAGCCACAGAGCTGCCACCGCCCAGCGCTGACCTTTCCGGACGCATCACCCAGAGGAAATGCCAATTTCCAATATTTACTCACGGTGCAGCATTCTAATGTGTCTGCCAGCAACCTGTTGGGGTGAGCCATGCAACAATGGGACCCAAGAAGCGTTTTCTGTTATGTTTGCTTTTCAGTCATGAGAAAATCTAGTCTCCACTGTCCTCAGGCAATTGAGTGTTTTCTCTTACTGTATTTATTGGAGGGACCTGTTGCTCTAGTCTCTAAATGTGGACTGCTTCCTGAAGTCTTCCTTCCAGTTATCTTGTTTACTCAAAAAGACCCATTTATACATTCATTTAGATCAGATGACTTAGTTGTAGGTGCAATTAGAAAGTTAAACAAGAAAAAAAACCTGTACTGATAAAGCATCTTTCAACCCCATAAAAAAATAAAATAAAATAAAACAACAAAAAAAAAAAAAAAAATACAATAAAACACCAATAGGTAATTTGTTCTCCAACAGTTGAAAGGCAGGCTTAAACACTCAAACATTTATTCAAGTGAGTTTGACAGTCTGGTGTTGTGGATGCATTTTAATAGCTTCAATGGGGAAAAAATAAATAATACAATACAGAACCTTGCCTGTTGGTATGCTTGTCTATAAAGAATTACTGCTCAGATATACTGGAGACAAAAGGTTAAGTCTGTCCAGGCCAAATTCAGTTAGCTTTTTAAGTCAAAATAACAAGCTTTGCTGCAAAAATGTTTATGCACTACCAGTGTATACTTTAAATGTCATATACAATTAGCAAACTTTTGCATACAAGTGTAAAAATGGTAAATGGCCTGTATTTGTATAGCGCTTTACTAGTCCATAAGGACCCCAAAGCGCTTTACACATCCAGACACACACACAGGTGATGGCAAGCTACATTGTAGCCACAGCCACCCTGGGGCGCACTGACAGAGGCGAGCAACTACTCCTGGGTGGAGGAGAAAAAGAAAAAAGAAAAAAAAAAAGACCAAGTCTCTGTCTGGTAGAAGCTTCTGGATAATTAACTATGCCTAACATAACAAAGGACCTTCAGGACAACCAGCCGCTGGGCACCTTTATCTGCGATTACACCTCAAAACTGCCACAGGGGTTGCAAGAAGAGATGAAAGAGATAGAATGTGCTTATAGCCACGGGAAAACAACAAAAAAAGGGGGAAAAAAGATT